ATATATATATATATTATTTGGCAGCAGATACTTGCCCAAAAGGCGAAGTGGGGATATTGCAAGTACTCAAACTCAAGCAGCTAGAACTACATCAAGGAGGTGCCACATACAACAACCACTAGATAAATACTGCCATCTATGAAAAGACCTCTAATGGCCTGGTATGCGACCAAACCCCTCTCCAAAAGCTTTACTGCATCTCCCCAATTGTGCCCATCTCCGGGAGCTTTTACATTTTCTTCCTCAGTAGTTTCTTCCAAGACACTTCCCTTTGCGCCGTGTAGGCGAGCAAGCACAATGGTAACATCAGTTAACAATAGTATGTAAAGAGGCCTTGAGGCAAAAACACTCTTTGAAATCATGTAATAAAAAACTACCACCAAAGCTATTATCAGAGAACTGAGGGCACGTGTGGTCTCAGAAGCTAAAATGCAGGAATTCAGCTCTCTTGAAGAGAAAAAAGTAGGCTTATGCCTGCTAGGTTGCTTTAGCTGTTTTGTGTCATTTGCTGAATTTTTAGAGCTTGACGTGGCAGAAGGTGGTTTCGTTTTGGCATCATCACTCTCAGGCACTTGATTGTTGGAGACTTGATTGTTAGACACTTGATTGGTGGACACTTGATTGTTGGACTCTGGATTGTTGGCTTCCGTAATAGTATTAGAATCCTGTGAAAGAAGTTTTTCCTGTATAATGTCGAAGTCGAAATTGTCCAAGTGTGAATACCTAAATCCACCCTGATGTTTTAGCCTTGTTGAAGCAAGAGAGGCACCACGTTTATCTTCAGCACCACCTGAAAATCCTAACGAATCTAATTAAATGCAAATACACTATGTTTATTCCAACATAAATTTTTTTTTTGTTTTTTACTGACAAAAATCTCTGTCTCTGCAAAAAGTAGCAGTGTTAAAAAAGATATTTTTCTAAGAGGAATATCAATGAAACAGTATCTAATTTTGTCAGGGGACTTGGTGATGCTAAAAGGAGCACAGATAAACAATATTGACATCTCACAAACACCAGTTACATAGTTGCAGAGTTCATAACTGGATTCCTTGAAGATTCTGATAAAACTTTAAACCACTTTACAAGGAATGTCTGTGTTGTCACTGCAAAAAATTCTCCTAGATGTTTTACTTTTCCATAACTATAGATTTACGGTTGTCGAGGTAATAATACAATACATCTTGATGACGGAGGAGTGAGGACCTTCATTTTTTCCTTCATTTTTCCATGTATTCAGATTTTCCTTTTTTTTTCCCATTCTATTTCATATTATTGTTATTATGGTGGGTTAAAGACACTTCGTATTTTTATATATTTTGTTAAAAAATAATATAAAATAAAAAATAATAATAATAATTATTTTTTAAATCAAATTAGAAGATATATCATTATAAAGGAGTAGAACAATCTTAAATAAAATTGGAGATTAAAAATAGTTACAAAATAAGAGGATAATTATTATTAATAGGATAACTAATTAAATTTTTTTTTCTTTCTATTTTACCCTTAAAAAATATGATGGTGGAACAAAATAATATATAATAAAGGAGTATAAATATCTATAAAAAAATGTATCAAAGGGAGTATATAATATAGATTATTATTCATGTTTCATCAATTCTTAACATTTGAAGAATAGAAATCACTTTAAATTAAAGAAAACTAAAGCATGAAACATGAGTATATTGAGCACCAATCATATATCCATGCTTAATTGTTGTTACCCATAGTATCAACTAACAATGCAATATGTTACTCATAAATCATAATAATTAAAGTTATCTTCACACACATATATTCTTACAGACTAGTCACAATATATCTACATGTCATAAAATAACAGGAATTTACTTTTTGTACACTATCAATCTAAAAGTTGTTTCACCATTAATCAATCAGAAATTATTCCAGACGTTTTCATTAATTAATATGAAAAGTCATCGATGTAATTTTTTTATCCTTGTTAGTACATTCTATTTAAATTTAAATAACAAGTAACAATGGAATCTTCTCGAAATATTGCATAACCTCCGATCAAGCATCATAATATGAAGCAATCTCATGAGAATGGAAAGCAAACAAACTATGAATACAAGTAACATTTTCATCAAACCCTTTACAAAAACAAGGTAAATTTTCATTTATTTATGACACACCCTTTGTAAAATGGGTCTTGCTAACCAATGCTATTAGGATATTTTAAGGAATCAATAGAAAGTTTTCATTGAAATCTACAATAAAATTATGCTAAAATTAAAATGTGCAGACACATTTTTCAATAAAAAAAAATTCTATTTTTAATTCCTTATCGAGCATCCTAGAGCACTGGTCAGCATTTTTCTTCAAATTATGAGCGTTCAATCAACAAACAAATTTAAAAGGAGAGAGAAGAAAGATTGGGTAGGTAGGTATACGAACCAGTGAGATCGTTTTGATAATCAACACCGAATGCAGTCAAAGACTGAGGGCGCTGGTGGCGAGGGGGGAGCTGATTTTCATCTGACTGGGAATCGAAAGTATGAGCCGCCGACAAGGATTGGGCGTGGCGAGGAATGTGGTTGCGATGGGTTGGGGACGACGTCGTAGAGGGTGGCGTCGGAGGAAGCGCGTTGATTCGACCAGTTATTAGGGCCATGCGATCCGAACCCCTCTCTGTAATTCTTCTTCTTCTTTCTTCCTTCGCTCCTGCATCGTTGTTGTTGCTCGCCATTTCTCTCTCTCTCTCTATCTCTCTCCGCGCGCTTCTGAAATTGTGTTTCTGGTATTTCCGTTACGAGAGAATCTTTAGTGTTTCGCAGGATGAGTTCCGGAAACGACGCCGTTTGACATGGCCTTTTTCTCAACTTGAGCAGCCACGTCTCACTGTAAAATTATTTTCACTAAAATAAGACAAAAGATTCTCTCAAATTAAATAAAAAAATTACTTAAATAATAAATGTTTCAAAAAAAATCATAATTAGTATATTTTTATTATAATATAACGTTTAATTTTTTTTTTCCATTTTTAATCATATTTCTACAAGATTTGATAAAAAAAAATATTTAAATATTTTATATACTTTTAAAATGTTTAATTAATAACATTTTTTAAAATCATAAATTAATATGTGTTTGTATAATAATCACACATTTAAAAGGTTAAGAATGACCAATATAAATTATGATTGAACCTTGAAGATCAGTTGATAAGAGAATATATCTTCAAATTGTTGTAGTAATTTATTATAATTAATATTTATATAGATGACATAAACTATTAAGTTTTTTAGATGAAGAGTTTGAGATGAAACACTCAAGAAAAAAAAGACATAATTTGGTTTAGGGTTATAAATTGAATATTTAAATAATGACAATTTTTATTAACAAACTTATATAACAAGGTACTTAAAAAAATAATTATATGAATAAATCACATTTATTATATACTCCAAAAGTAGTAAGGTAAATTTTTAGATGAGAATAAATATCTTTCTAGACATCAAGAGAGATTTACTTGATCCTAAAGTTTCATTTCTTAATGATATTTGGAAAATTGTACATTTTTATTAATAATTTTTTATTGTATTAAAATATATGCTATTATGTTGATTTGTTTTTTAATTGTTGAAAATTTCTAGAAATTTATGAATTCTTAGAATTATTATTTATTTAGGAGTATTCTTAAGTAAAGGTCAAGTTTGACCTATAAGGAGAAGGTATATAAGACGTTTCTTTATAAGTTCATTTTTTTAGGAAATTTGTAGAGAAGTTCGAGAGAGGAGCTTTGGATTTCTGAATTTATTCTTTCTTTATAGTCTCCCCAATAGCATAGAAGATTCATAATGGAGTAGAGGAGTAGTGATTCAAAGCCCGTAGAGCTAAGAATCGATCGGCGGTTGTTTTGTGTAGAATTTTTTAAAGCTCGTTTTCTTTTTCCCTTTTCTTTAATTCTTGTGAATTTTGAGATAAGGGAAGCTGGTAAATTTTTTATTTTGGATTGTTCTTGTTGATTTTTGTTAAATTACACATTATTATGATTGTATTGATTAAATCTGAGGGTGAAATGTCATGTTTTGGATTTTGGTGGATTATTGAAGAAGTTATGAAAAAGATCATGATTTGTGCTATTAATTGGTTGCATGTGGAAAGTTATGACATTTATGAGATGGTTTTGGTGTATAGTTGTGTTTCCTAGTAGTGCATGTTGCTTTGGACTAAGTTTCAAGTGTTGAGAGTCAAATTCGTGAATCTGCTAAGTGCAAAATTCACCACCACGTCGAGTACAACTTCAAGGTGTTAGGCTTAATGTAAGCTAGAGGCTCTTTGCCACATTGACGCTAGGCGTGAGATTGGTAGCGTCAAGTGTGACTTTGATGAAAGTTCACTAACTTAGTCACATCAAGCTTGAGTTGAATGGCATCGGACATAAATGTCTTTGGAGCTCTCTAACTTAATGATGTTAGGCCCTTGTTGATTGACGTTTGGCTACCCTAGTGTAGCTAGTTTAGTATTTTGTGGTTGTTGTTTAACTGACAACTTAGAATTAGTATTTTAGTATTGAATTTTTTACATGTATATATACTTGTATAATGTTATTTTATTATTTCAATTGTCGATGAAATTTTTTCATACTTACATATATATATATATATATATATA